ATATGTGACAAAACCTTGCACTATTCACGATTCAGAAACAAAACAACTCCCAGCGAACGAGTACAGGAACTTCTTCAGTTCCTCATTCTGATAAAGAATTTACTACACAGGCGGCTCAGCAGTTGGGAGCAGTGGCTGCTCCTGCAGAGGGCCTAGCTTTAGTTCCCAGCACATGTGGTAGCTCTCAACCATCCATAACTCCAGTTCCAGAGGATTCTTGTGGTACGTGTGTGTGTGTGACCCGAACTCATAGAGCTCCACCTGCCTCTGCCTCCCGAGTGCTGGAATTAAAGGCATGCGCCACCACCGCTCGGCAATATATATATTATATATAAGTATATTACTATATATGTTATTTGTAATATATCTTTAAAGTGTGTATATTATATATATATATATATATATATATATATGAACTTATTCCTACAAGTGGTGCCAAATGATGAGGTAATGGTAAATTACAAAGAACTGTATGAAAACATAAGCTCTGGGACAGGCCTATAATCCCAACTAATTAGGCAGGGGGATCATAAATTCAAGGCCAATTTAGTGAGACATAGGGGTGACAGGGACATGAGGACACAAAAGGACCAGGATCTGCTGAAGGTCACAAGAAAAAGCCGTGAAGATGGACGAGGAAGGAAAGACTGAACCGAAACAGAGTGGGGCAGGAGATTGAGGAACTCAAACCCTGGGCACACGTGGGAGGAGGAGATCTGGTAAAGCAACTGTTCCCGTTCCCTGAGATGACAGTGCCCCTCTCTCGTGCCTAGTTAAATATCTGGATCCTCTAGCACATCTTTGTCACCTGTAATGAGAATGAAGTGTTATCTTGAAGTACATTGTAATAAACATTTTGTAAAAGTAATAAAGCCGGCTAGTGATGGCTCTCGCCTTTAATCCCAGCACTCAGGAAGCAGAGGCAGGTGGATCTCTCATTTCGAGGGCAGCCTGTCTGCAAAGTGAGTTCCAGAACAGTCAGGGCTACTACACAGAGAATTCCTGTCTCGAAAAACCAGAAATAAACAACTGAAAGTAAGTAATGAGGCTGGGCTGAAGCAGGAGAATTACAGTGAGCTTATGGCCAGCCTGGGCCACTGTCTAAACACACAAAGCAAGCAAACAGAACCCAGAAGATTTGGGTTACGGGGTAGTGTAGAGTGCTGGCCTACTGTGTGAGAGACCCTGAGTTTGTCACCACAAAAAGAAATGAGGAAAAGAACATTTTTAACAACAGTTTTTATTTTTATGGTGCTATGTATTTTTCTCCCCTCCCTTCCTCTCCTCTCCCCTAAGAAAAGAACATTTACAACTAACGTTCTACCTAATGGTGAAAAGCTAGATTCCAGGTTAAGATCAGTCCGAAGCCAACGTTGTCTCTCCTCCACACTCCTCTCAGAGATCGTCTGCAAGTCCTCACTAATACAACAAGACAAGAAGAAGTAAAAAATGATAGAGCTGGGGGGGGGGGGCGATGACAAAACTCTGTGTCTACAGGTGGCATTACTATATAAAAATCTAGAATAATCAACACAAAAACTGTAACTAATGAGTGACTATATCAATATTAAAATATACAAGGTTGGTTAATGGTTAAATAAACAAGGAGTCAAATTGATTTATCTGCAAGGCAATGCAATGCAGGACTTTAATCTCAGCACTTGAGAGGCAGAGGCAGGAGCATCTCTGAGTTTGAAGCCAGCCAGAGCTACATAGATTTTGTTTTAAAAAATGTGTTTCCTATATGTAATCAATAAAAAATAGTATATGAATATTACAATATCATTTACATTATCTGTCCTCAAATAAAACATATAAGTATAAATCTAACAGAGTATATACAGGGTACTTATGAAGAAACCTCCAAAGATGATTGAAGAAAAGAACTAAATAGTTGGCAATCTATTTCATGTTCATGGTTAGGAAGACTCAAATTGTCAAGATATCAGTACTTCCTAAGTTGATTTCTATATTAAATAAAATGTCAATCAATATATAGGAAGTTTTTTTAAACTGATTTAAGAACGATTTTCTGTGCATAGTTTTGTCTGTATGGGTGTCTGATCCCCTGGAACTCTACAAGAGTGGTTAAAATGTCTCATAACCACTGAGCCATCTCTCCATCACTCCAATTTCCCCAATTTTTTGTTTGTTTTGTTTTGTTTTTTGAGACAGTTTTTCTGTGTAGCCCTGGCTGTTCTGGAACTTGCTCTGTACACCAAGCTGACTTTGAACTCAGAGCATGGTTCTATTTTGTTTTGGCCTCTCAGAACTGGTCTTATTCAGTGTTGATATTTGGTGAATATATGTTCAGCTGAACAGCAGTGCCATTAGAAAAATACTTCAGATGTAGTAATTCATTATGATTTGAAGAAGAGTCAAGAAAATGAAAATTACTAGGAACAATGAACATTATTTTTCAGGTATCTAGGTAAGCAATTAAATTTTAAAAAGTGGCCGAGAGAGACGGCTCAGCAGTTAAGAGTCTTCTCTTCCAGAGGGCCTGAGTTCAGTTCCCAGCAACCACATGGTGGCCACAATCATCTGTAATGAGATCTGGTGCCTCTTCTGGACTGTAGGCATACAAGCAGGCAGAACACAGTATATGTAATAAATAAATGAATCTTTAAAAGATATTTAAAAAGTAATATCTGTATACAATATTTAACTGTCTTCTAGCAGTGCTTGTTTCTTTTCTATAAACTAATAAACCATATACTTATATAATAAATTACATAGTTCATTTATGTATTAATTTAATTTGATCAACTTTTATAGTTTTATATCTATTTGTTTTGTAGAACTCGACAACATTTACCAATGTTGGGTATTTGAACCAATAAACATTACAAAGAGCTGAACGAAATAAAAACAAACAAACAAACAAACAAACAAGCAAAAAAACTGAACTGAAAGATGCAAAGCAAAAAAAAAAACAACAGACATGAGAAAATGTTGAAAACCTGACGATGTTGGGCTGACAAGATAGTCTCCAGGTGAAGGTGCCCACTGTGATTTGCGTTTGAGAATCCAGGAGCTGCATGGCGGAGAAACAAGACCCACAGTTAGTAGTACTCTGGCCTCCACAAGGCACACTCCTCCCCCAAAAACAGTGATTTCAAATTCAAAAGAAAGTGTGAACGGAGGGATTCTCACTGATTGGAGCATGGCAGACATTGCCCTTCCCCATCCCCATCCCCTAGGCTTCCTTAAATCCCTTAGCTCACCATTCCTAAAGCAAGCCCCCCAAGGTCTGTGCCCTTATTTCGCCATTTCCTCCTCCTGAGGCTGACTACCAAGTTCCAACTATCAAACCACTGAAGTCAAGCAATCCAAAGCCCCTTTGGTTGACCTAGTTATTATGTCCAATCAAACTTAAACACCTCATCATAACACAGGGTTTCCCTTGTACCTTTATAAACTGCCTTTGCCTATAGTCACATCCATCTCCTCTCTATCCAGAGCAGTCCTGTCTCTCTGCTGGACAATATCCCTCCCTCCTCTCCCTCGTTCCCCTCCCCTTCTCCCTCATTCCCTGCCTCCCTTCCTCTGGGGCTATTAAATCTCTGTGCTGAGGACTTGGTCTTGGGGTCCTGAACCAATACCAATCTCTTACAGTGGGTATAAGAAGTTTTCTTTCCTGGGTGGTGGTAGCGTGAGCCTTTAATCTTAGCACTTGAAAGGTAGGCAGATTTCTGGATTTAAGGCCTGCCTAGTCAGTTCCAAGAGTAGTCAGTTCTAAGGAATATGCAGAGAATCCCTGTCTCAAAACAACAACAAAACAAAGAAAAACAAACAAGCAAAAAATGTTTCTTTACAGCAAGAATATTATACAAAGGTCTGCAAGACAAATCACACAGGGAAGAATGCATGCAAGGAATTGATTGATGTTCCTTGCTTTAAGAAACAAATAAGCAGGCAGGACTGGGGTCTACAAGTGTTTTCCCAGTGCAAGGATATCTACTGGGGAGAAACAGAATGGCAGATGCTTCTGAATGGGAAGAGAGACAGCAGAGGGTTGGGGGAGGAGAGGGCTTTTATAGGGTTTGGGGAACATAACACAGCGCACTAGTGGAAAAGTACAGTGGAGCCGGAAGTATTGCTTGGCTTCCAACTTTGAAACATTGTTCGGCCAGCAAGTCACAGGGGATTTTCGAGTCTTGAGGCAGGAGCAAGGTGTTCTTTTCTAGACCATGGTTTCTGGCTTGAGAGTCCAGTCAGGGGTGGGGCATTCTTTCCGTGGTCCCCTTTCCTGCAGCGTTGTGATTCTAGAGCATTTGCTTAGTATGTCCAAAGCCCTGAGTTCAATCCTCATCACCATCAAAAGCCAGTACTTTACCAGGCAACCTATATAAATAGGACTGTCATAGGAATCCATTTAGTTTTTTTACAACCGGAAAAACCATAAAAGGGCTGGAGAGATGGCTCAGTGGTTAAGAGCATTGCCTGCTCTTCCAAAGGTCCTGAGTTCAATTCCCGACAACCACATGGTGGCTCACAACCATCTGTAATGAGGTTTGGTGCCTTCTTCTGGCCTGCACGCATACACACATAAAGAATATTGTATACATAATAAATAAATAAATATTTTTTTTAAAAAAAACATAAAAATGTTAGGGCTCACCAGGAGATGGTGTTGCACACCTTTCATCCCAGCACTCTGGAGGCAGAGACAGGTGGATCTCTGTGAGTTCAAGGCCAATCTGCTCTACAAGAGCTAGTTCCAGGACAGGCTCCAAAGCTACAGAGAAACCATGTCTTGGAAAAAAGAAAAGAAAAGAAAAATGTTAGGGCTGGGCATGGTGGCACAAGGCTATAAACCCCTGCACCGGGGAAGTAGAGGCACGAGGATGAAATCACACACCGTTAAAGATTTAAAAATTAAAAAAAAAATAAAAAAGCCTTGCCCACAGGAAGGCGTGTCCTCGCAGAGGGCGGCCTCCGGAAAAAGACTACGATTCCCACAAGGCTCTGCGCCGAGCATGTCGGTCTCCCGACAGGCCCCGCGCGCTTCACCCGCCAGGTTTTGCCTGAGCCCGCGAGCGTCTGGCGATGGAGAGCCTAGATGATGCAGCGGACGGCAAACAACGCATCCACTTGCGCTCTGGCTCGCTGCGTGGCGCCGCGCCGGCTACGCTGCACCTCCTGCCTTGCGAGGTTCCGGTGAGCCGTCCCGCTCCGGTGGAACGCTTCTTCACGCCCGCGGTTCGCAGCGGTGCAGACGGTGAGTCCCGGCAGGCCCCGCGCAGGCCACAGCGCTTACGGGCTCGGTGGTCCGCGGGAGAAGCCGCCAGCCCGTTCCCCGGCCAGGCCTGCCTGATGGGCTTTGCGTGTTCCTCCCGCAGGGCTGCAGGTGTCGTTTCGGGGTCGCTGCCTGCGGGGCGAGGAAGTGGTTGTGCCGCCGGGATTTTCGGGATTCGTGATGGTGACGGAGGAGATGGGAGAGGGACTGATAAGGAAGCTGAACTCCGGGGACGCGGAAGACAAAACAGACAAGGCGCAGGAACTGCTGGCGCGCGATTTCGTGAGCAGAGGGAGAGGGTAGACTCGGGACGAGGGTCATAGCCGCGGTGCCGGTTCTCAACTCGGCCTTTCCTAGGACCGCTCCATCGGAGCCACTGGCAGCTTTAGCCACTTCACACTGTGGGGTCTGGAAACGGTCCCCGGCCTGGATGCCAAAGTGCACAGAGCCCTAGGTTGGCCTAGCCTCGCTGCAGCGGTGAGTACACATATGGGCCCTTTTCTCCCAAGGCTCGGTCCGTCCTCCCACCCGGTTTGAATCGTCCCTAGTGATTTGGGCTTTTTAGGGCAGTGAGCACCATGACTCTGGAGGACCAGACTGAGGAGTGGTGGGGGCACCCTCCACCTCTATAGTCCGGGTTTCTTAGAAGGGACTATTACCCTGAGCAGCTGGGTCCCCACCTAAATGCTTTGTATTAGAAGTCACGTAGTAGAAGTGACTCCTGTTGCAGATTCACGCACAGGTGCCTGAGGACTGAGAGCCAGAGTGTGAAAATGAAAGCCACAGATCCCTCCACACCAGTAAACCAGCAATAAGTTCACTTTGGAGCCACTGTTTCTACCCCAATAAATGAGCTCTTCCTAACACCTGTGAGTCTGTGGGCACCTTAGCACCTGGAGGCTGGCATGAGACACCCAGTCCGGCAAGAACTTTTGATAACTCTGCATATATAAACAATTTATTGCTGGGGGCAAGAGGGGCCAGAATATTACAACCAGCAGCCACCCCACCCTCCAGCTGCTCCTTTACAAAAGAAATGTTTACAATCACAGTCCTCTCTACAGAGCATTCCACTGGCTCAGTGTACATGGCCACCTGGATCCCTCTGGTCCCTGTGTTCAGAGCAGACCTGGGCCCTTGAACCAGCTAGCCCTGGTGTTGGCCTAGCCCTGAGCTGGCCTTGGTACTGTCCACTAGTTGGCCCCTCCTAGGCCTCTCCTTTTGGAGCTGTCCTCAGCCCTGTCTCCCTTGGCGTGCCTCTCGGAAGGGATGAGAGCCTGTCAGCCCCAGTTCTGCCAGCTCCCAGTGTTGCAAGTGACCATGGGCAGTGCCTGGTCACCACTTTCCTCTCTTGCTCCAGTCTTTGGGAGTGAAGTGCAGACACTTGGAGTCAATTCGAAGGAGACGCTTGAGCATAGCCCGTTCATGGCCATCCACGATGTCCTCTGACAGAGTGAGGATATACTGGCCCTAGGCAAGAGATAGACCCGGCATGTGGTCAGCGCATAGGGTCTGCCACCTGTACCCCATTCAGTATCTCCTTAGGTGTCTCCTGACCTTGTAGTAATTGATGAGATTGAGATACTGCAGTGTGGAGATGACATCTTCTTTCTTGATACTGGTGATTTCACTGATCTCACTGTGGGAGGGCAAAATTTAGGTCCCCTAAGGGTATTCATCTGTCCCCAGGGGCCCCAGAACAGACAGGCCATACCATGCACCCCCAGCTGGGCATTCAGGCTCACTTGATGGTAATCTGTGGCCTCTCCCCGCTCTCCGACTTCAGTCCCATCAGGATCTCCAAGATGGTCTGGGACCAGTAACTTCGATAGGATAAAAGGCCAAGATCTGATAGGGGCTTCTCAGGAGTCCCTGTCTTTCCTTCTACTTTAGAGAGCTCATAACCTAAAGCAATGGAGCACAGGCTAAGTAAGAATCAAGGTATACACAGGTGTAGGTAAGAGCAGATACTGCAGAACTAGGCTGCCTGGTTTCTCTCTCTCACTCTTGGTAATGGGTGATTAGCTTTCCTGCCTGCTGAGTGGGTAGAGGAGTTTAGGCACCTAGAGAGCAGCTATGACTGGGTACTTGCCAGCCAGTGGGAGCTGAGATGGAAGTGCCAGATTCTCCTTTGCCATCTCAGCCTGTGTCTGGGGTCACTGGGAGGGTGGTGAGGGAGACCTTTGTGACCTTAGGACACTAGAGCCTTTTCAGGCTCATCAGTTTCTCTAGCTGTGATCCTGGGAATGTTAGTGCTTTTAAAAGTATAGAGGGGTTTCCTCGGAGCCGGGTAACTGACCTCTGTAACTGTCCTTTCCCTCTCGTGTTGACTACTGGGCACAGCCAGACAATTCACAATGAGACCTTTAGGGACCGCAGAGCTGACAGTTCTTTACTCTCTTGTCAGGGCCCTGGGGGTGACCCTGCTGGTTTGGAGAAAGCCTTCCTTACCCTCAGCTATACCACCGGCCTCTTAATGGTTCTTGACACTCTCTGCTCCTAGCTACATCACTGTTGGCCAGTCTTACTTTGATCAATCACCCCTGGACAAGATGGGTCAGAGAGGCTGGTGTCTGGAAAGGCAGTCAGAAAGGCAAGAGAGCATAGGGTTTCCTACTTAGCCCTCCTGGATGCACATGTGTATGGTCCCATGAACCCACTGGATGCCATACTTTCCTCTGTAGTTCTGAGTTCCTGACCCTGTTCAGTGATTGCCCCTCCCTTGTATCTGTCTCATGGTACTTCTATGGTCAGTCCCCCGAGTTTCTAGAGAAAATAATTCCTAACTTGAAACCACTCAACTAACAAAATACTCCAAACAGATCATGACTTTGAACAAGTAAAGCATCTGTGTTTAACCATCAAAAAAGCTAACCCTTCTTCCCTGACTCCTAGATCAGAGAATAGTTGAGGGAATGGGATGGGGTGGATGGGCTAATACTAGAAAACAATGTGACTGCAGAGTTAAGAGCCTGTGCGAAGGAGCCAAAGCTCTCCTGGGCTTTAAAAGACTAGCGTGACAAAGAACAGGGACAAACTCATCCTTTAGTGGATGAAACAGCCTTTGGACATCTGCCTTCAAGGCTCAGGGAATATCTGGTGACAACCGAGAACGTGTTTCAGTAGACACCTATACATGAGCATGAGGAGCTGAGCTGCTCCACATGAAAACAGATGGTTCCAGTTTGGAAAAGTATGGGGGTACTTAAACCTTTAGCCAAAGAGAAGTGGAGGTTTGAGACCTACTCCAAGAAATAGGGCAGTTAGTCGAGGAAAGAACTCGGGAAAGTGACCCTTTCTTTCTGGCAGCTCTCTTGGTGACAGGCATGCCTGCATGTGACACACAGATGATGAGCCCATCAGCCCCCAGACTACAATACTCACTGAACTCAATAAGCAGCTTGCCGTAGCCCCGGCGCTGGTAGGGGGGCAGAGTCAGGATGCAGGCCACATTGTAATCTTCTGTAGATTCCTTCTCCTGAAAGAGGGATGAGTTGTAACAAAGGCTTGGCTTGGGGCAGGGCCATCCAGGCACAGCTGGGGTGAGTGCTGACCTTGGAGAAGTAGCCCACGATGTGGAAGCCCTTGCAGTCGTACTCCGTCATCACGTAGAAGAGGAAGGGGTCTGTGTCATAGTACAGCGTCTTGTGGTCCAGGAAGCACTTGGCCAGAAGACACAGGTTTTGTGAGTAGCTCTGTAAGGACAAAGGCCTGTCAGTCACTACTCTGGGGGTACTACTTTAAAGAGTTACACTTTGTTTTGTTTGGTTTTTTGAGACAGGGTTTCACTGTGTAGCAGCCCTGGCTGCCCTGGAATTCACTTTGTAGACCAGGCTGGCCTCAAACTCACGGATATCCACCTGTGTGTCTGTTTTTCAAGACAGGGTTTATCTGTTTAGTCCTGGTACTCACTCTGTAGACCAGGTTGGCCTCAAACTCAGATGTCTGCCTCTGCCTCCCAAGTACTGGGATTAAAGGCTAAGGGTGGGCATCATCTGCCTGCCCACTTCCCCCTTTTAAAAAGTTTCCCCATGGAGTTAACCTCAAACTCAGTCTCAGAACAGAAGTTCTGTCCACATGGCTGTCCTTGGGTGTCCAAACCCTCATGCTCTAGCCACAGTGATGCTTCCTGGGAACCGGTCTGGTATTCTCCAATGGAGGCTTAAGAAAATGCCAGCCTTGGTGGTTCTTCCTGAAAAACTTTGGACTGGCTGCTTTACTATATACATGATTTGTAGAGTAATATTCTAGATAGCTTTACACTTAATACACATTAGTGTGGCTGGGCGGTGGTGGCACACACCTTTAATCCCAGCACTCAGGAGGCATAGGCAGGCAGATCTCTGTGTTTGAGGCCAGCCTGAACTATAGGACAGCCAAGAATACACCTTGTCTTGGAAAACCAAGAAACAAAACAAAATACTACTGTGGAGGTTTGTCTTTCTCTTGAGTTCCCCACACCAATCCAGGTATCTCCCTCTCCCCCTCTATACCCTGATGGCCCGAGAGAGGTGTGTATCTCAAGGGTTCTACTCTACTCACCTACAAGACCCAAACCTGCTCCTCCATTGATCTTGTCCCTGCCACCTGACCTCTGACCTTCAAAGTCTTGCTTTATCCCTCTCCCTTCTCTTTTATTTTTCATGTATACTGTCCTCGCGTGTCAGACAACTACTTACAATTGCCTTAAACATGCTCTCTCCTTCGTAGTCAGGCTCATAGGTCAACCCAGAAACTTTTTCAAAATAGGGCTTCACTGTATAGCCCTGGGTGTACAGACCAGTAGAGATCCACCTGCCCTGCTCTTCCTGAGTCTTGGGATTACAGCATATACCACCCAACCCATTCAAAATCCTTTTTGTTTGTTTGCTTTTGAGAAAGGGTCTTAGTAGCTAGCCTTGAATTTCAAATGTTCTGGCCTCAGCCTCCTGGATGTTATGATTACCACGCTAGGCTAAACTGTACAAACTGCCTCTAGTTTTACATTTGACTTTTGCTACCATAAGTTGTTATCTGTTTTGTTTTTGGCTCCTCGAAACTAAGTCCTTCTTGCTTTATAGCCCAGGCTGACCTGAAACTCAGAAGCTTTCTGAGTGCTAGGATTACAGGCATATACTACCTAGAGTTCTGGTGATAACTTCCTTTGAACGCTGCTAACTTATGCTTCGGTTCACGACACTTCTCCATTGAGATCTGAATAGCCGTGGTGTGTCTGCTTCTACCGTGAACAGTGACCTCTCAGAGAATAGCTTGTCTAAATCTTAGTGTCTTGTGCACTCCCACCGCCCCTGCTTTACACCAGAAATTCAATAAAACAGGCTGAATCAGAGTGGTCAACTGTTCTGAGCAGGAAAAAGTTGTTCATATGGCTTATTCTAGGCCCTACTGCCCCAGCCACTAACCTTGTTTTTCCTTCCATCAATCTCAAAAAAGGAGATGGTGCCCTTGCGGTAAATTTCATTGCCTGGAGGGTGCCGAAGGTCACATTTGGTCTAAGGACAAAAGGAGGATCAGGCGAGGACTGCTGTGGGTATACAGGATAGGCAGGCCTCCCAAGACCCCTCATACCAAGTGGCGCTGTAGACACTTGAGGCTACGGCCATATTTGAGGCAAAATTCGCACAGGTAGAGGACAGGCAGTGTGGTGAGCTCTTGTGGGTACGGGGAGAAGTACCACGGCTTGAGGCGATGCCGGCCAAGCTCAATACACTCAATGTTCTTCATCCGGGTGACAATGTCGTCGTGACTCCTATCAGACACCAAGCTGCCAGTCATGCGTGGCGCTGATGGTATTCCATCTGAGCTGTCCTGAGAGTCCTGCCCAAGGCAAGTGGGAAGTGGTAGATTATAGCGGACAGTTAAGCAGAACATGGCTCACAACCCTGTCATAGGTTTCTTCAAACCTAACATTAACTAAGGGGAAAGCATCATAATCCTCTTATCAAAATAAACCAAAACTGAGAAACTGGTGATATGATGAAAATCACCCGATGGCTCATCTGCTTGGCTCTTAACCTTAGCACCATCTACTCCCTACCACCTCGCTTTTGTTTTTTCCACCCTCAAGACAAGGTTTCTCGGTATAGCTCTGGCTGTCCTGGAACTCCCTCTGTAGACCAGGTTGGCCTCAAACTCAGAGATCCGTTTGCCTCTCTCCTGGGTTTTGGGATTAATGGCGTGCGCCACCACTGCCCAGCTTGTATGACTTGAAATTAGTCATTGAATGAACTCTCCTTGCCCAAGTCCATTCCCTTCACCCAGCTTTTCTCTTCCTCTGTTCTTTGATACCCACCTCATCAGTGCCCAAGCAATTAGATTTCCTCTTCCGTCCTGGCTGTGCTGCCACTGCCCTACGGGCTGATCCATTCTGTGAATGAGACGGAAGGGAAAGGGTGAGTGTGAGATGAGCCTGAAGGAGGCTGCTAGACTGAGAAAAGATGAAGCAGGTAGACTGGAGGGGCTGTCAAGGTGGCTCCTCTTCCAGAGGACATGTGTTCCCTTCCCAGCATGTATGGTGCCTCACACACATCTCTAACTCCAGTTTCAATGGACCCAGAGCCCTTTTTTGGCCATGGCACCAAGTGGTGCAAATACATAACGCAGACAAAACACTCATACACATAAAAATAAACTGCAGGACTCACCTGAGGGAAAACTGAGGCTGGGGCTGTCTCGCTGGGCACTGGAGTTGCTGGTGAAACCACTTCCACCTTCCGTTTCTGCAGAGAGAAACCAAGAAAGGTGGGTCAGAAGGTAGAGAAGGTGGGACCTGAGAAGAAAGCAAGGTCCCTGGAATTGCTGAGGGTACCGTTGAGCGGTGGTTGGGTTGCAGGCAGGAGCTGGAGGAGAGCGGCTGGTCAGGCTCGCCACCGGGAATGGCCTCCCGCTCCTTGGGCAGGTTGAAGCGGAGTGTGATCTGGACCGGGATTGGCAAGGTCTTCCCGCTGGCCTGGGCGGAGGCCGGCTGTAGAGATAGGTCCAGTCTTCCTCTGGGGTGGGGATGGTGGGATGGCGAAGGGGCAAATGGGCCCCTTAACATGGAATGAAATCCCACCCTCTGCCTTCTCTAGAGCAAGGCAATGGTGAACTCGAGCTACACCTGCATTTGGCCCCCATCCTTTGCAACCTTTGCAAGTTGGAGTCATGGCAGGAGAATGCTGCCTCCTGCCCATTCAGGAACCCCTGAGGCCAAGAGATGCCAGAAGGAAAAGGCAGCAGAGAAAAGGTGAAATGGGGGACCTACTCACCACCTCTCTTTCGGGAGAGCCGGGGCGGGACCCAGGAAGTCCGTTCTTGGTAGGGGTCTTGGCCTCTTTCTTGGGGAACTGGATCTTCTTCAAGTCCAGCCGTTCGTGAGTCACCCATTCATCCAGACGTTTGTTGACTGCAGCAGTGGAAATGGTTCAGGAGGAAGGCCAGAGGCTGCCCTCAGCCCTGTCCAGCAATCCCACTTCCCCCTGCCCAGGACTCACAATCAATGTAATGGACATAGAAAAGCTTCCGGCCACTGATGTCCTTCACGCTCAGGATCTCAGCCAGGGCTATAGGAACAGCACAGACAGGGGGTCTTAGCCAAGCCAGGTCATGAGACTCCACCCTCCGACCTGAATTCCGCCTCCAGGCTGGATCCCTATACCCCAGCTCCTAGAAGGGTTGGCTCAAGACCTCTTCAGTCACCAAGAGACACCTCTCTTCAAGCCCCGCCCGGCTCATCGCCGCACGTCTAAAAGTCACGCCCCTCCTTCCGAGGATCCGCGACCGCCCCAGGATTGCAGAAGCCCCTCCCCCTCCCGTGTGCTCGTTGACTCCTTCCCGCCCCTCGCCCTCTGGTTCCTTGGACCCGCCCCCCGACGTCACTCACGCCACTCATCTTCGTTGTCCTGGTTGCGCCGCAGCACGGGCAGGCGGCAGCCCTCGATTATCTCCCCCTGGGGAGACAGCGCGGCGCCAGGGTCGGCTACTGGGGGGCCTCGGGCTCTACCCACCTCCCCTGGCTCCCTCCGCCCCGCCCCGGGCACCGGACTCACCACCTCCGCCATCTTCCCTCCCTCCACTGCCACTTCCGGCCCCTCTGGGAAACGTCACTTCCGGAACTGAGTGCGCCACAGGCCCGAGTCCCGCGAAGCTAATTAAGAAAAAAAAACACTGTCACTGATGGCTGGTGGGAAGGAGCAAGCCCACTTCGGGAATGGAAGAACAGGGCGTTGTAAGCCTGAGACCAAGTAATAGAATCCCCACAGCTCGCACTGCGATTGGAGGAAAACCGAGTCTGTCACGTGACGCCCACTGGGTGCGACGCGGGTCATGCAGATCAAGTGTTTAGGCTTTGACCTGTGGCTTTGTTCGGGCGCCTCGTAGTGGCAGCAGGAAGCGAAACCCTCAGTAAGAAGCTGGGAAGTGAGGATTTTGGACCCTGGAGCTGAAGAGATTTGAAGACCCAGCCAATGTTTACATATAGTTGCACAGGACTTAACAAGAGTTCTTTTAGTTTTGAATATTGGCTTCTCTTTTTAAAATAATATAAGGCTATTTTAAAGGCGTGATGGCGCATGCCTTTAATCCCAGCACTTGGGAGGCAGAGGCAGGCGGATCTCAGAGTTTGAGGCTAACCTGGTTTACAGAGAGAGAGTTCCAGGACAACCAGAGCTACATGGAGAAACCCCGTGTGGGGGTGGTAAAATAAAATCAGATGTCACTCTACCTGTGTGACTACTTGTCTTACCTATACTGCTATATCCTGGGCTGCTCTAAATACCAGTTGAGGTAAATACCAGTGTGGAGGTTCCCTAGGGTGGGAGCAGCCAACCTGTGGTCTTTTGTGTGTTTCAAGACAGGGTTTCTCTGTAGTTTTGGAACCTGTCCTGGAACTCGATTTGCAGACCAGGTTGGCCTTGAACTCACAGAAATTTGTCTGCCTTCCAAGTGCTGGGATTAAAGGCATGGGCCACTACCACCTGGCCAGCCTATTGTTTGGTTGGAAGTGTCACCTCAGTTCCCTGGCACCCCTTTATTCAAAGTCTGGAATTCTTCACCCTATCCCCCTAACATCCGTTTTTGAATATTGGGCAGAAAACTCCATTTCAAGCCACCTCCTCTGGGAGTGGCCGCAGTCTAAACTCCACCTCCAAGAAAGCCGGCCAAACGTGACCCATTCCTAGGGAAGGTCAAAACCACTCCCACAAGCTATTTAAACTGTCCCCCAGAGAACGAGCAGTGGTCTCTCGGTTTTCCTTGGAGGGCACCTGGGGGTGCTGTCATCCATTAACCTGGACTCTTTTCTAATCTGGTCTGCTCTGGTTTGATTTGGATTATTGCCTTGGTGGAAAGGTTTGTTGGCCAAGGAAAAATACTTAACATCTATGTTCTTTATAAAACCCCATCAGGCAGGAAGTTGTCCATCCCACAGAAGTCAATGGGAAGTAGATTTTTTTTACCCCATATCAAGAAGGACCTTTGTTGTGTGATATTTTGTTTGTGTTCTGACAAATAAAGCTTGCCTGGAGATCAGAGGGCAGAGCTGGTCACTAGTTAACCATAGAAGCTGGGCAGTGGTGGCTCATGCTTTTAATCTTAGCACTCTGGAGGTAGAGACAGGAAGTGAAAGGTGGGGTGTAGACAGGAAAAAATCCTTTCAGTTTGAGGATTTAGAGAGGTAAAAGGTCTCTGGTGGCTGCTGCTCTGCTTCTCTGATCTTTCAGCTTTTACCTCGATACCTGACTCCTGAGCTGAGTGCTGTGGGGCCAAAGGGGGGATCAAAGGGGTTCTGACATGCCCCTGAGGCTCCTTTCGGCCATTTCCAGGCCGCTCTGAGACAGCTACAATTTAGAAGGTTGCTTTTGCTCTCCCTCTCTCTTTTATTGTTTTGTTCCTGAGTTCCAGGCTGGCCTCAAACACATCATCCTCCTGCCTCAGCCTCCGAAGAACTGTAATTATTGAAACATATATAATATCTCTGTAATCAGACTGCCTTATTTAGGGTTTCTGTTGCTGTGATAAACATGATGACCAAACACACTCTGGGAGGAAAGGGTTTATTCCATGTTACAGCTTATTGTCTCTCATCGAGGGCAGAGCCAGAAAGATGCAGAGGCCATGGAGCAGTGCTGCTTACATACCCCAGGACTGTTTGCTCAAGAGATGGCACCACCCACAATGGCCTAGGGCCTCCCACATCAATCACTAATTAAGAAAATTCACTCCAGTTAGGCAGTGTGATGTACACCTTTAATCCTAGCACTCAGGAGGCAGAGGCAAGTGGATCTCTGTGAGTTTGAGGCCAGCCTGATCTGTACAGCAAGTTCCAGGACAGTCTCCAAAGCTACAGATAAACCTCTTCTTGAAAAACCACACACACATACATGCACTTTGGACTTGCCTATAGACAAATCTTATGAAGGCATTTTCTCCATTCTGAGTCCCTCTTCTCAAATGACATAACACTTGTCAGGCCAGACAGCAGTGGGTCATCTCCGTGCTTCCCCGACCCTTCAATTAAACTGTGTGCCTGACATGTAACTTAACATCCAGCATGTTAACTGACCTATAGTGGTGCGATATTAATGGTACTCTAAAGGCTGGTGTAATCGTTAGATGTAGTGATAACATTTGAAGTGTATTTAGCTCAACATTTGGCACACAGCCCATCCCAGTAAACACTGGCTATCATTACAATGCTGGACATGGACCCAAGGGCTGGTTCCCAGGGTCAAGGAACTAAGATGGATCACATGGAAAGTAAACCAACCAGTTAGCAGGCACAAAAATATTTAGTTGTGCTTTCCTTAAATATCCAAAGTGAATTCTAGTGTGGTGTTCTTTGAAGTTCAGGGAATTTGGAAATTTCCCTGGCGATACTGAGTGTTATCCCAGGATCCAGGAAGGTGACATTTTTAGGAGAGCACTGGATATAGAAGTCAAATGCTGACAGTGCTGATATTTCTCAGAAACACTGACAGGCCGCTTGACTCTGAAGTTGTGTACCTAAAGAGGGAGTCCTGCAAGCTAGTCTTGCTTTCTTTCTGTCTTCTGGTCTAACTTAAATTATTTGCTTTTTGGAGATACATTTTTGTTTGTCTGGTTTGGATTGTTTTGAGACAGGGTTTCTCTGTGTAGCCTTGGCTGTCCTGGAACTCGCCCTGTAGACCAGTCTGATCTCAAACTCAAGTTTGCTGCCTCTGCCTCTGCCTCATGCACCAACACCACCCAGCCTTTTTTTTTTTTTTTTTAAATTATGAGTGTATCTACATGTGCTTAAGTGTGCAGGTGCCTGAGGAGCCCAGAAGAGGGCATTAGATTCCCTGAAATGAATTACAGGTGTTTGTGGGTGCTGGTAACTGAACTTGTTTTCTCCACAGAAATAGTGTGTACTGGTAACTGCTGCACTAACCCTCCAAACCCAGAATCGATTTTCTTTAACTGCTGCTTGCCTGGCTGCCCGACTTGAGGATCTTGGCATGATTAAGCAGCAACCTTGGGCTCCTTGGTGGAAGCTTACTTTCATCCTTGGTAGAAATATCTCTCACTGCCACCAAAGCCGGGAACACTCATCCAGAAGGGTTGAACACCATAAGGACAGGGAACACAGATTGTTAAAGAGAGCCATTGGAAATGATGTCAGGTACCATTTCTTTTTTCTTTTCTTTTTTTTATTTGTTTGTTTGTTTGTTTGTTTCGAGACAGGGTTTCTCTGTAGCTTTGGAGCCTGTCCTGCAATTAGCTCTTGTAGACCAGACTGACCTCGAACTCACAGAGATCTGCCTGCCCCTGTCTCCTGAGTGCTGGGATTAAAGGCGTGCACCACCACCGCCCGGTTGACAGGCACCATTACTATCGGCACAGCTAAGTTCTCCAGCCTGGGTCTCTCCAGCATCCTTTCAAATCAGTGGCATCATCTCTGGGTGGTGATGTGGCCGTTGCTTTTACTTTGGTAAAAATCAGTGCCAGTTTGTAGAGCAGGTGAGCCTTCACAAAATGATACAAGCAGGGAAGGCGAATCCATAGCCTGCTGAGTCTTTGTGTGGCTCTGGGAATTGACTTGACTCTATAGAGCATCTAGAAAATGAAGAAAAGACAAAGGCACAGACAGAAAATCTGGGATCAGGTGACCTGGGCTGTCTGATGGAGAATCCTCAGTACCCTGAAAGCTCGGAGTGTTTATATCTTACATCGTTGAACAGACAGTGGGGGTTATTACTTGCAAATGAATCAAGAAGGTGGGTTTTATGGTTTATGCTCAATCAGAGATCAGGGTTAGCTAATTTCAGTCGGAGCAATCTCTGCAGAGGAGCAGTGCTAGGCTATTTTCTGCACACACTATCAAGATCAGCACATGGACGGGGGAAAGCTTGTCATCCCTCTGAGCCTCCTCCTGGGAGAAGGGTTTGCCATTTTCCCGTGGCTCTGAGGCAGTTTTCTTTAACATGGCCATGCCAACGTCAGCAGCACACATTCACTCAGGGCTTCCTCCACCCCCCACAATTCCCACAACCCACTGGTTTCACCATGAACAATCACAGAATCCCTAGAGCAGAAGGGACCACCATCAGTGATCAAGCCATATGCACCCTGCATCTCATGTTGTCATGGTACTACATTTAAGGATATTGTGCAATGTAAGACTGGACCCAAAAAACTGCTGGCCAGCATCCACAGTAAAAAGATGAGACTCGGGCACACACGCCGCCATCATTCTCCCAGGTCCACTTGAGTAGCTCCTCCCCACATTCATTTGCCTGTGATAGCTCGATCTTGCCCTTCCAGGCCCCTGACTGGCCGTCTTCAGTGTCTGCCCCGCTCAGGAGTCTGTACACACCCCCTTTCCAGGTCACTTCTTCCTCCTTCCACACCAGTAGATGACCAAGTCTGTTGCTTGAAGTTTTACACATTTTCTTCCTCACTGCTGTTTTTGACCCTGGTTGAGACTGAAGAACCCAAGCAAACCATTTTTGGCCCTTTCTGCTTTCTACTGGCCCATCCTAAGGTTTTCTTCTCCCTTGGTTGGTCATAGGAAACTCCCAGGAGTTAAGGAAGAGGTATCCAGGCAACACAGACAGGTAGAGCTCAGGCCATATGCTTATGAAACTTGTGCCTTTTGGGTCTTCCTGAGCCTGATACAGCACATTGGATCCGGTGAGGCCAATAGTCCCTGGTTTGTGATGATTTGGGGCCCAAATTCCTTCTGAGTGTGAGCAAAGCTCTCTTTTCTCCGGGTCCTTCTCAAATCTGGCAGTTTCCAGGGAATGAATCAGAGTAGAATTCCAAGGTGTGACTTAAACTGTTG